ATCTCCAGACGATGCTTCCAGTTCCCCTCGAGTTACAGCCTCCCAGCTAGCAGCTCTTCATGAAAACAATGCTCCCTGAGTGTCTTGCGTTGTCAGACCTCAAATTGTGCTCTCCATGGTAAGACACATTGACCCCTGAGTCTATCCACTAAGTCTGTGGCTGAATACCAAGGAGTTGGTGAGGTCATCTCCTGGCTCTACAACTTCATCCATGAGCCAGATCAAACACAAAGAACATGTATTGTGAGCGCCATCGTAGCAGCGTCGACCAGGGTGTCCTCGTTGTAGTCCCCCCCCACAACGCCGATCACCAAGATCCCAGGACTCCGATCACCTACAATCGACTTGAAGGTTGGCCTAGACCTTGGCAGCTAAGGCTTCTAGATACCACTGAATTTAATCGCCAGCAAAGCTAACGGCAGGAATGACTATAGGAAGCAACCAGACGTATTAACCTTGCTTTCCGCCGCCAGCGCTCAAGCATGACTACGATGCCACCCTTCGACCGCACTCCCGCCCAATACCTCCTGAAACCACATTCGTTCTTGGATAGAGAGATCTATACCATCTCGAAGCTCCGGGCCGTTACCATTGACGTAGAGCTTGCTACTTGCACTCGTTATTCGTTGTCCCGTAAGCGCTGCCCACGAACCCCTGATATCACGAACCGCGGCGGGCGGGCCTACAAAGCCTCGAGGCAAGCTTTGGACGTCGTATACACTATATTCAACTCAAGATTCTCCATTGTTGCCCAAGTGCTCGGCCGCCACCTGCAAAGTTGCCGTAAGTATGCACCAGAACCCCTGAAGTACCAAACCGCGGCGGACTGACTGACAAGATCTACAGGCAGGCTCGTTACCCCATTCAACCTCCAATCGATTTAATTTCCGCCGAAGCAGACGAGTGTGTTCGACCGCCACCGCGTTGGCAGCTAAATATACGGTTTTGTGAGAGCTCCTGAAGCGCCCAACTTCAGCGGTCTGAATTGCTGGGAGTTGCAGGACATAAGACCAGCGCTCCATACCACCATCAGTCTACTCAGCATCTCTTTTACAGTATACTTGTGCTCGACCGCTGCCCCATTGAAAGGTGGCTTCAGTTTCTTCGATCTCCAGCCTCCTGGTTTGCTCTCCGGTACACCCCGAACAATGGCAGATCTACCAGCGCCTCAACTCGATCGTGTCCATCAGTGTTTGTGCGATTATCACCAAGTTTACCAAGAAAGGCCCTACGAAGACACCCCAGAAGCTATAGAGTCCTGACTAATCAAACAACAGGGTGCAAAGACACATTCGGGGCCACAGGCACCCCAAACCGACCTTGCTTCACGATTGCCACCCATATGCACGTAAACGACATACCTCTAGGCTCCAAGATCTACTCCTGATGGTAGCCTCGAGACTGGTTGAGTCACAGGACATCAAGAAAAGCTCGAAACCCTAATCGCCCCAGTCAAGCTAAACTTTACGAACTGTTGCACGAGGCTGCCACAATAACGAATCACCGGGATGCGAGTCGACCAATCTGGCATGCCAACGACAGAAGCTTATGTTACCGTTGCGAAACCTTGTAGTTCCTGGAAACACCGTGACAGCGATATACTTCGCACTTACACCACGAAAGGGGCTTACACGACCAACTCGCCACAACGGTGGGAACCATTGGTTATGAAGGACAAGGAAGGTTCAATAAATGAGTATTTTTGATCTTCACGCTGGATACTCTTAAAACCAAGAACCAACATACTTTGCATATTGTGGAAAGTTTACAGACGACACTCTTGACTCCCCGATGAGGATGTCTTGCGCCTTACCACTGGCCAAGTCTTCGGCCTCTGCACTACGTGAGCTTTGATGAGAACTACTATTACAATCCTTGAGTTATTCACTATAGTATTATGAGTCACATCAGTTGGTAAAACGAGGGTATCTCTGCCCCGGAGGCTGGCACACTATAGCAAAGTGTCTTTGCTACCAGTATGGAATTACCAGCGAACAGAAGCGCTGAGCAGCCAGCCATCATGGTCAAGTAGAAGCAGAGCAGTCACAAAGAAGAATGCACTTCAAGTGTAAATTCAAGTTCAGTGTATTGACTTCGATGCCCTTCATTGCATTTCTCATGTCCTGATTAATAGTCCATAAATCGTAATCCGTAATGCGTAGTCGTACCAGTGCCGTAGCGATAAAAACTTCTGGTAACGTTGTTCCCCGGAGATAAAACCACAAATCAACACATAGCAATTCCAAAATAACCCCGATCCCTTCATGTCATTAAAATCCATAGGTCTATCATCAGACGCCTATGATATGCATTATGAAGTCCATTGTCATACTCCCTGTTCGATATGCTCCCAAAATGATCGTTCTCAACAGATCTCCGCGAGTGTGGTCCCTGGATGGAATAAGTATGAAACAGAGGCAATAGACACGATGAAACTTACTTCAAGCTGGATATCTTTGGGCAGACAGATCCGTAGTGGGCTCTGGGCCATAGATAAATCGTCGTCTGTGTGGATATCTTGAAGTGCAGGTGGAATAGAGTCCTTAGGCAAGTGTTGTTCCCCAAAGAGGCTCGTTTCCATTAGAAATGAGCAACGCTTCTTGGCTGTAGCGTTTGAGCTTGTCCAGGCCATCTTCCATCTCGCGGCCACGTCGGGCCACTTGGAAGGTGAACCACTTCTCTTGGAGGTCCAAGTGGTACTTCAGCGCGATTGCAGCATGCTTGAAGGGCTTGGACATGCCAGCATCCTTGATCGCAGCGTACTCCCGCTGCTTCATGACACTAAGGCCCTCTTCTCTTTCATTGTAATATCGCTTTACTATGTGGTTCATGGATTCCACGATATTCGTTGCAATGTCGATGGTCGATTGGACTTGACCCTGGGAAAGGGTTTTGTCCCTCCCCATCTCCCCCAAGCGCTCACGGCTTTCTTTCATCTTGGCCACAACTTCTTTAACGGCTTTCTCCATGTCAATGCGATTGTTGTATTTGGTTGGGATGAGGATAACCTGCTCGGGGTGTTCGAGGTCAAACCGAAGAGTGTTGTTCGTGTTGAACATCTCCTTGGTCAGGGGGTAGTGGTGATTCATGTGCAAGATACGACGCATCTTGAAGGTAAGAAGATGTAACGTCTGGAGTAGTAGTGTAGGATATAAACAAAACACTCTGCCGAGTAAAGAAATGTGAAAATGATAGAGTTTGGTTTGTTCTTGTGTATGTTTGTTATTGCGTGCAGAGTGAGTAGCTGAGGCGGAAGAAAAGATGGTTGAAGAGGGAAGAAAAAATGCGGAAGATGAATCAAGAACTGCGACCTTTATAGACGAAGAACATAGACTTTAGTAGAGTTTGACAAGATTTGAGATCGTCAAAGGAAAAGCTTACGAAGTCTCTTGATGTGCTCACAGAGGAACCATTTGCTGTGTTTTGGAAGTTATTTTGGAGTGGGGAGGGGTAAATTTCTCTGGACTTGTTTCCAGGCACCCGCCGCCCTGCATATGGCATAAGCTCTATTGCTCGAACCATGGTAATGATTTTGCCTGGCAGTGCAAGTGCTTCAGCAGTGCAGTGCTTGTGTGCCGAGTAGGGCAACTGATGTCTGCCACAAAGAGGGAACTCGAACGAAAATGCTGATGCAAGTGACGTATATTTTTCGGCCTCTTGTCTTATCAGGGACAGAAGAAGATATTTTATGTAAATGAAGAAGATATCTTGATATGTCCCTACGTGCAGCCAAGAGTGGCACTCCCTCTTATACCCCAGGACTCAACGCCCAACCCCACGATCTACAATATCCTTGCACCACTTGTGGCACTATATAAAAACTAAATATGTGGCCAATATTTATATAACATGATCGAGTGCAAAGCATGATTGGCGATGTAGGAAGCTGACATGGTATGTTTCTGATATATCAGGTCATGCAGCTCTTGGCACGATCCATGCCCAATTCTGCCGGTTTAAAGGGTCCTCATGTGGATCGAAGCATCCTAAAATCAGTAAATCACGGTGCATAGTTTATGATCTTTAGGATGAGTCTTAGGTAAATTCATAAAAAATTTGAGCAGGTTATGGCGGCCCGGCCGAGCAATCATGACTCTGATGCCGCTTGGAGGGGCCCGTCGATTCGGTGACGCCTAGCAACATCAACAGAGCCGCAACTGGGGCACAGGAAGCCCACTCGAGCACATCAGAGAATATTGCATGAGGGAAAAGTGCAACCGAATTCGAGGCATCAAAGGAAATTCCACCACGACGAATCTCTGATCTTCTCATCCGTTGAGTGCAAAATACCACAACTTTGTGACTCGGCAATATACTATCCTCACCTTCTGTTACCTCTCTCTCTCTCTCTCTCTCTCTCTCTCTCTCTCTCTACACACACACACACACTACTACTACTACTACTACTTACTTACTTACTTACTTACTACGTACGTTACTTACGTTACTTACTTACTTACTTACTTACTTTACTTTACTTTACTTTACTTACTTACTTA